GCGTTCTCGACGAGGAGCGACGTCGTCATTGGGATTTCATGATCGCGAGCAGCGTTCTTGGCGTTTCGAGAGTACTCGCGATAACTACACTCATCGCATACGGGACGACGAGTCGCCCGCGACGATTCGTCCGCGTTGAAGAGAGACGACAATGACGACGTAGACGACGCGTCCGATTCCACCATGCTCTTTTTTCGCTAACCTCGTTCTCTTAATACAGGAGCGTATTATTCCGACCGCGTGATTTCGCGCCGCTACGTTAGAGTTCAGCGCACCCCGTTCGTGCGCGGCGAAGCGCGAAGCGAAACATCGTGGAACACCTGCACAATCTGACACCGCGAACCTTTCCACTGCCACGAGACAACGACGAACGCGGCGTCACGGAAGCCATTGCTCGCGACGATGCGCACGAGAAGGGTGTTTCGGAGTCCGAACGAACGAGAGAGAACACCCTGCCACGATCGTCGTCGCTGATCGATGCGGCGACCGCCGCGTTTCGGGCGATCAATCCGTACGCCAGCGATAGATCGCCGATCATGGACGCTGTGCGCTACGTACAAACGGCATCGATCGATATGCTGCGATGTCACGACAAACGCATACCCGTGGTACTGCGTGACATGTACAAAACGCTGCTGCACGACAGTGATCGCGAAACGTGCTGCGAAATGAACATGGTGTTCAATATGTTCGTGCAGTCGTTGACGCTACTGACGTTCTACCGGTACGCCGTTCAATTGGGCACCGGCATAATGGCGTCCACCGCGTCCAAACTCGTTCCGCTGGACAGAGGAGTGCGCGCCGTTTACATCACTATAGAGGACGTGTTCAACGACATTCGACGGAATTGCGAAACGTACGACGCGAGTGCGAGCGGTGACTCCTGCGAGAACCCGTACTTTCGTCTGATGCGCTCGGTCGTGCTGGAGGCGCTGCGCGAATACGTGGGTAATGACTCGCGACTGTTCAGAGACGCGCCGGTGTACGAGTAGAATGATATGGACGCCGTCAACACGTACGTGGACATGTTCGTCAAAAGAAAGAGAGCGGTCGACGACACCGCGGATGCGCCAACGCGATCGTTCCATCGTCGCGGCGATTCCGGCGCGAGCGAGAATCGAGCCGCAACAGCCGTGAACGACGAGTGAGGCGAGCGAGTCGCCGCGCGTTCGTCCGACGCGAGAACTGAAGGCAACGACGATGGCGTCGCGAACGACGGTGGCGGCGGGACGCGCGACGATGTCGATCGCTCCTCAAACTGTCGACAAACCTTGATTCGACAGCGTCGCGAACGAACGCGACGCGGACGCGTTGACGATCGCGTCGTCGCGACGACCGTCCGTCGACACCGTCGTCGCCGATATCGAGTCGCGAGTCTCATCGACCGACGACCGCGATCATCGCAATCCCGCGTCGCCGGAACGCGAGACGCGCGCGACCGCGTCGATCGCGATCGGCGCCGCGACGACTCGCGTCGAGGTCGCTCCTCGCGACGACGCGATCGACGCCACTGAGGTCGACGTCGCGACGAAGCCACCGGGCGAGAACGACGACACCGAAGACACCGTCCTGCTGTCGCGCCTTCTCGAACAGGCGATCATCTCCATGGAGAAAAAGGAATCTCGCGCGGTCGCGAATCGTCCTCGAGGGAAGCGAGAATCGTCGTCCGCTCGACGACGACGCGTCGCGACGATCGTCGACGACGCGACGACGACGGGCGATTACGTGCTCGCGTCGCGCGAAGACGCGTCGCGCTCCCGAGCCCAGACGTCGTCGTGGCTCGAAGACGCGACGATCGCGTCGCTTACCGAGGACATCGCGATTCGATCGACCGAATATCCGCATCTTGAGGATGATCGTTTCGACGAGCGAGACCCCGAGAAACGCAGCGACCCTCAGTTCTCGACATCGGACGAGAACGAAGACGACCGATGGCGACGTCCGTCGCGACCGACGAATCGTCCGTGGTAGAGGAACCGGCGACATCGGCGTTTCGGATTGATAAGTGCGCTACTGGCGAAAAAATTCGAGACCGGAGTGTGCGCGTGTACGACAAATGGGAATAAAGAGAGAGGAAAAAACGTGACACTGTTTCGTCGTTCGATCGTCCGCTCGTTCTCTCGACCTTCTCCCGATCCGTATCCGGTGCGTTGAGAGCACCATGTCATCCGTAGGTACGGCTCTGCGCCATTTCATAGCGAACGCGACTCGCGCGTTTCACGCGGTGGGCGTTTCCTTCGCGGTAAAGGTTATTCATTGGAACGTCGTGCTGTCGACGCTGGGAAAGCGCGTGCGATCCCTCGCCGCGCGCTTCTCGTCGCTGTCAACGACTAAACGCGTCGCCGAAAACGGGGAGGAACTGGTGATGCTCGGCGGTCGCGTGGAAGCCCGCGAGTTCATGGCGATGCTGCGCACCGCCAGATCGGTCAAGGCGTTCGAGGCGGCGACCGGCGCCGTTCGAAGCTCCTTCTTCCGACACCTGGACAACGTGGCGTCGATTCATTTTCCCGACACAAATATCGCTCGTCGCGCCGAGTACCTGACGCGCCATCGCGAAATGCTGATCGAGCGAAACCTTGTCGCGCGAACCGAGCGAATCGAGAGCGCCGAGACACTGGAGCGCGTGATTCGCTCCGATCCGACGACTCTGAATCGAGCCAACGCGCTTCTCAGCAAAACGTCGCGAACTAATATGATTCTATATCTGGGTGTCTCGTTGATCGCGGCCGGCGTCGGATTGTCGTATCTGGCGCGAGTGGTCGTCGAGCACGCAGCCGCGAACACGGGATGTTTCGTGTACACGCGAGATCTCACCAACGGCGACCGAAGACGCGACGCAACTCCGCCATGGTGTCCCGAGTGGTGTGCATGGTGGCGCCGTCCTGCTGCCACCACCGACCGTCGTCTCGGCGATGCCGACGCGGATCGTAACGACGATCGTCTCGAAGCAACGGCACCACGTAATTCTCGATCATCTCCCGATACCGCTCGCCGGTGACGCTCGTGCTGCGTCGCGTCGCCGCGTCCTCGAAGAAGTACGAGCCGAGAACGCCACTTCTGGACACACCGCACCACACGGTAACGCGCACACAGTGCGCGCTTCGCGGTTGCCACAATCGCGGATTCTGCGCGCCCCAGAACCGCACGTTTTGCCGATTGAACACCTCGCAGGAGAGATCGAAATGCGCTTCGTCGCCCATTATGAGACGATGCACGAACGAACGATCGCGCGCGACCTGTCGCAGGAAACACCGTGAGAACGCGAGTCGTTGCTCCGTGTCGGGCTGCGTCAATGTGTGCGCCAGTTGCACCTTGTACGCCCGCACGCGCAAATCCAGTCGCTGAATGCGCATGAGAGAGGAGCGCGACAGATTCACTCGCTCTATGCTAGCGTCGGTGCGCACACTGCGCGGCCGGCCGGGTCGCGGTCGATCGCGCACGCTGCCTAGCTCGCGAAAATGTCGCACCGTGGCCAGAACGGTACGAATGCACACCGAACGCCGACGACTCGGCGCGTCGTTCCCATCGGGGTCGCGGTCGCGGGACCATCTCCAGAGCGACATGACACGTCTCACATTACCGTCGCAGCGATACCACAATCGTACCAGAGCCACTCGATCGGGGGTGCGCAAGCGCCGACGATCGATCGCGACCGCGCGACGATCGACGACGTTGTCCTCGCTCGCGTCGGCGCCATCTATGTTGTCGCAGCTGTCGCTGTCGCCGTCGTCGCCGCCATCGTCGATCCCGACGTCGCGTCTTGAAGCTTGACGACGGCGCCTCTCGGACGCCGCAGCCGCGTCGCCGCGTATCGCGTTCGAAATCTGTGCATACACACGCAAGAGCGTTCGTCGTTAGCGAACGACGCGAACGATCGCTTCCGCGAAACGACTCGTGCGCGAAGTTCCGCTGTGTTCGCGCGTTCCGACCGCGTGATCTCGTTCCTCGATGTTCGCACGATGTGACGTCGTCCGGCGTTCGCGATATCCGGGCGTCGCGTAGAGCCTGGAGCGTACGCGACGAGACAGAAAATCGTCGACTCTCGATCGTACGTACGCGCCAGATGCCGGTCGACACACGCTCGAAGGAACAAACGCCACGGTGCACGATTCGCCATGGGCCGGATGTCTATCGGTGGCTACCGCGAAGGATCGTCGCTACCGACAGCCGCGTCCCTCGTCCGCGGTTCGACGCGACGACCGTTATTCGCGACGACCGCCCAACGACCATCGCGAGAACCGCCCGAAGACGACCGTCGCCGTTACGGAATCTTCGATGTTCGAACGAGTTATGCGGAGCGAAACCAAGGATCGTCGAGTGTCCGCGCGGCTTGCGATTCAACCCTGTCGCCGAGTCCCGCGATTCGGCCGAGAACGTTTCGAACGTCCGAACTCGATCCGCGGTGCTAGCTCTGAGAAATATACGCGAAACGAATCTCATCCGGACTACCGCTACGGTCGCTTCGTAGCGGCGGCTCTCGCGTCATGTCGCACATACCTCGATAATCGAGCGCGCGTTCGCGCGCCGTATCTCTTTGCGTTTTTCGTGACGCACGCACGTATATGCACTCGTATGCACATTCACCTGAAGGAAAGAGGTCGATTAAACGATACACGTACGCGTCAGTATCTACGACGAGTCGTTTATTATTTCCTGCTACTGGTTCACCCATCCTCATCATCGTTCCCGTCCCGTCGCGCCGACGGCGGATCGTACTCGCCGTATTTGTCAAGCGGTGTCACCGGTTCGTAACGCGCCGCGTGCGCCAGTATCTCGGTGTACGATAGCAACGGCAGAGTCACGCGTATCTCTCGATCGTCGCGACCGTCATCGACGGCGTCGTCACCTCGCGTCGCCAGGCGTTCGGTCACAAAGTCCTCGTACGTGGTGTCGGATCGTTCGAAGTAACGACATAAGCGCGATGGTTTCCCGATCGTGCGTTTGAAGCGCGCGAAGTCTCCGGGCACCCAGTGACGACATATTCAACGAATCTCCGATTCCTAGTCCCGACTGGCGAATCTAGTGCCTCGCGTCGCGTAGTCGATCGGTCGGTGCAGAAAAGCGTTGAACAATCGTACCGTGGCCTCCCGCGTACCCACGTAACCCACGTAACCCATGAACACGGCGGCGCACCGACGACGAAACGCGTCGTCCAGATTACTCAGACGGTTGGTCGTGAAGATGCTGAACACGCCGTAGTTGTCCGTCCCGTCGTTCGGTTCGAGAATCGTGAGAAATCTCGTGAGCAGACTGTACTCGCCGCTGGTCACGGCACCGCTACGATTCTTCACCAGTCCGTCCACCTCGTCCAGCAGCAGCAACACGTTGCGACCGGTGGTGCGAACGAGAGCGCGCATCTTCCGGTACAGCGAGCGCAGTTTCTTCTTGGTCTCCAAGCGGTAGGTCGACAGCAGGTTCTCCGCGTTGACGAACGCCAGATTCGAACCGAGCGACCGGGCCACTGCTCGAGCGGCCGCAGTTTTACCGGTGCCCGATGGTCTGTACAGAATCACGTTCGCACCGGCCCGCGTGCTCGGTCGTCGCTCCATCATCTCGTCCGCCAACAGGACGCTCTCCGGCTCGTCGTTGATCACGAAATAGGCGTTCAGCAACAGTGCGTGCTGCTCCTCGTAGCCCGGCAGATCGCTCAGTGAGACGTTCAGACTCTCGTGCGGTATGAACTCATACAGTCCATCGGTGTGCACATGCGGATCGGCGTCAGCGTCCGCGGAGTCGCCGGTGTTGCGCGCGTCGTCCAAGCGACGACGCGCGCGACACCGCTGCGCTGAAACTGTCTGTGCGCCGGATCGACGATGAATCGATCGTACGTGGCGGCATATCGGGCCACGATCATACCGAGAGCCACGTGCTTGTCGGCCGCGGCAGCGTTGTCGGCGCGCTCCAATTCCACGATCGATCGGGCCTCTTCGTTGTACTCTCGAATGAATTCGTCGGTCGCTCTCTCGTACGCGGTAGTCTCGACGGGGACGGAACGCGAGAGGTGGTCGCGCCACGCGACGCGTTCATCGCGACGGCGAATCGCGCGAGGTTCGCTTCGAAGGGAACAACAGTGTAGACACTGGTCCCCAGACCAGAGACTTACTGATCTCTTCGGCTGTAACGCCGACACCGATGCGCAGCGTGTCCAACGTCTCGCTGTTGAACAGCTGTTTCAGTCGATCGTTGCTCCGAACCTTCGCCCGCCCGACGAGGTAGATCAATGCGACGATGAGTGCGACGATGATCGCGATGATCACCAGGACGCGCACGGTCGTGCTTGCGCCCATGTTAGGTTCTCGTTTCGCGCGCTCGATCTTTTTATTTCTCTTTCGCGAACTATTTCGCGCGATCGCTCGGTAAACGAGGAATCATATTCTCGCGCGAACGCACGTCGCTCCGGCGAAAATAGGATGCCTATTTCGCGCGATCGCTCGGTCGATCGCGCGTTTTTAGGTTCCGTTCGAGGATCCGCGTGCCACCTCCGTTTCCGTCAAATCGAGCGAAAACACGGTGATTCGAGCTTCTTTGACGGTCATTAGGATCCATCGAAAATCCTCGAGACGGCACCTATTTTTCGCACCTCGCGCGAAAGTAGGATCCGCTCGCGACCCGCGCGAAAATGGGTTCCGCTCACGAACGGATCGCGACGCGCTGTTCCGGTCGCGAGGGAACAGGTGCCGCGATCGCGCGCGACTGGAAATGCTCGAGATCAGTTCGCGTCGACGGACCCGCGTCAGCACGCCTCGTGCGTTCGAACTGAGGACTCCACGATTCGCAGAGTCTCGACGGTGGGCGGGCGATAGGAGAACGGCGCCGAGGCGCAATAAACGGCGAAGCGCAGTCCAATGCGATCGGCCAGCGACATGCTCGGGAACAGCGACAACCAGCGCGTCGTGTCGAGATCGCACGCGCGATCGCCGATCTCGACACGACGCGCTGGTGCGACTCGAGTGGTGCTTTCGAAGTCGACGATCTCGCGCCACAGCTCGGTCGCGTTGTCGATCTCGACGTAACGACAGCGCTTTCGGTACTCGTCGTCACCGCCGTCGTCGTACGCGTGCCTCAGTTCGATCAGATCTTTGAGCACGGCGAACGCGTCGCCGCAGTCGCACGCCGACCCGTTCTCGGCTCTCGTCGCTCGCGGTCTTCGACGCGTCACCGAACGCACGATCGCGTCGTAAGCGTCTCGACCGAGCTCGCGGGACCAATCGGCGATGGTCGTGACACCAGTCGACGTCGACGGCCGATGTCGCTCTCGGATTCAATACGGAATCACGCTCTTGTACCGGCTCATGTCGATGATACAGGAATACCGCAGGGCGTAACGGCGCAACAACCCGGCGTAAACGCGCACGCGAGACGTCAGCACGTCTCGCGTGCGCAGAAGCGTCTCGCGACTCCTTCGCGCGACGGTCTGTTCCGCCAGAGCCGAGCGAATTTGTGAATGCGCGATCGCTTCAGCGCATCGCATCGAGGCACTGTGGCGCGCAACTCGACGGCCAGGCGTTCCGCGGCCTTGCTTTCTTGGTCGTCGTCGTCCGTCGACGCGCGCGACGCAGAGGTCACTTCAACGTCAGCCACTCCGCCCTCGGTCAACAGCACGAGCTTTCCGCTGGTCGCGCATCGCGCCAACGTGGCGCGCATATCCGACTCCGCGCTCAACGCGACGTCGGACGCGTCCGAATCGTACGCTCCCGCGTTGGTCATGTCCATCGCGCGAAGCGTCCGGGACACCGATTTCAGCGTGTCGTTGCGCACCGCCACGAGTCGCTGCCGGGAGGCCCGAAGCTCCGCGAGTTTACGCTGTCTACTACGTTCCGCGAAATCGGCCACCCCCCGCATACCGTCGACGATCTCGCTTATGATCAGATTCGTTCGATTCGCCACGCGTTCTCGCTCCAACCGAACGCGTGCGTTCAGCACCTCGTTGACGGCACGCAATTCACGTGCTTTGTCGCGCTTCGTCGATATCTCGCGATGCTCCGCGTTCGCGGCTTCGCGCGATCGCGCCACTTTGTCGCACAGAGCGTCGCGTTCGGCGTGCGATCGCGTCACCTCGTCGCACAGACAGCGAGTCGCTCGCCAGCGGACGCGCTCACCTCGAGCTCCCTTCGCGCGACGTACGATCGCGCGATCAGCAGTGTGACGCATTCGCGCAGATCGTACTCGCACGAGACCCGCGAGCGCAGAGTCGCGAATCGACTCGTCGCGACTCTCTCGCCAACGCGACCCGACACCTCGTCGTCGCGCTCGATCAGCGTCGGACAGTCGCAGCCACGCCGAGGGCGTGTCGTCCACCGCAACGCCGTGGTCGTCGGTACTCATCCCGTCGTTATAACGATACGCGCTGATTCGGTCGTTCGCGGCCGTCGCGTCGTCCACGTCGTCGATCGTCAGTCGCAGCTTGGTGTTCAGTGAGGTCGCGACTACGCGTGATCAGGACCGCCAGAGGCGCTCGTCCAAGCGAATGCTAGCCGCGAACGCCCGCGAGCACAACGCTCGCAGTCGCGACACCGGCGTCGTCGAGACGTCGTCGTCGAAAGCAGCGACCGTCCCCATGGACGACAATTCGCGACACAAACGTCGTATGAGCGACGAACGTGCCACGCGCGCCAAAACGCCTCGCTGATCTCGCCGCAACGAGCGTTCGTCGTCGGCGCCGGACCGAACTCTCTCGTCGGGGCGACAAAGCTCGTCGAACAGCGCGTCGATTTCGCACAATTCGTCGTTCGCTCGAGCGATCGCGTTCGTTTCGCGCGCTGAGGCGTCGCACGCGCGTTTCACGGTCGCGCGTTCGTCTCCGCGTTCGCTCGTTCGGCGCATTTTCCGCGCGACGCGATCTTTTCTCGCGGTCGCTCATTCGCCGCGTCGCGTCGAGACGCGCGTCGTTTCCGCGTCGTCGACGCGACGATGGCTCCATCATCTCGTTCACCGACCATGCGTCCGATGGCTCGCACCATCGCGCGATCGGGCATTCGTCGTCGCGCGACCAGCAGAGTCTGCGACTCCAGGTGAATGCGTTAATCGTACACGCCGTAACAATCCAGCGCCCACGAGACGTTTCGCGGCAGACCGGCGTACGGATTTGTTATTCCGCACTCGAATTCACTGGCTTTCACCAGCGCCGCACTGGACATACCGTTCTCCAGAAAACTGTGGTACGTAAGCTTACACTCGTGCATCGGATTCTCGCCCTCGTGTTTGAAGCTGTAGATGAAAATGTTGTGCGCCGAATCGTCGCTGACGAAAAAGTACCCGTAGCCGCCGGTACCCACGCACATGCCAGTCCGTCGCGAGAAAACGTATCGACAGTCATCGCGCTGCTCGAGCTACTATCCGCAAGCGAAACCGCGCGACGACGTCACATTCGTCGAACGGTCGTTGAAGATACGACGCGTTCTACGACACGTACAGATCGCGCGTTCGACGTGAGTCGTCGACCCGTCGGACGCGTCGTTGTCGTCGACCGAGCCGCCGCGGAGCGACATGCGCGAGGGCGCACGCTGCGACACGTGAACATTACCATTTGCCGCGTTGAAAAATCGCACGAACGCGCCGGACGACGCGAAACGTACCGACGTGCACGCGCAGGCCCAGATCGTGCGTGATTCGAGTGTCATTTGAGACAGAAATGTCATCGGGTGCGCGCACGAGGAACTGATCTTGCGGCACATCGTCGTATATATAACGAGTCGGCGACCTCTCGCGCATCGCGATCGCCTGATTCGTCGTTCACGGCGTTCGACGTCGCGTCACCGATGTAGCGACTCGCGTCGGCGAGCAGCGTCGCCTTGCGACGTTACTTGTACTGTATGCGCAACGATCCAGTTGTTGTGAGGAACAGCATGTTGCCCTTGCTGGTTCTGTCGTACACGTACATGTGTACCACGACATTGTTCGCCGCGTTAGTGTCTGCGATACCGATGGCACTGACGCAAATCCGTGTGAATGAAACTGTTGAACACCCAGAATCGATCGAACGCGTGGATCTGGCCCATGTGCGACAGATCGAAGCGCGCGAAATCGGCGCTCGCAGCGATTCGCTCGTCGTCACTACCGTAGCGCAGACGCACGTCCATCTCCGACCCGAGGACCAACGGCACGAAGTTGCACACTTGCAGCGTCGCGTTGTCGCTCGCTCGCAGGTTCACGCTCGCCATGTATCGACCTGTTCGCAACACTCGGGTCAATTGACGCGCTCGCAGACCCCGCGGACCGCGACGACTCCCCGCCGTATCGTCGGGGATCGAGTCGGTGGCGGCGCGTGGACGATTCTCCGATCATTCCGGACCAAGCCTCATTGCAGACGGTGCAGTCGTATGCTCGGTACAGGGTGTTCCATTAAGTCAGGAAGTATCGTCTCTGCGGATATGAGTCGCGCAGATAGGCCAGATATTCGAGCGCGAACAATTCGCCGGGCGATGCGACGGTCTCGGCGGAGGTCATGACCGTCAGCGTCGCCAAAGTCGCTTCGCGCGTTTTCTCAGTAGCGCGACGACTCGCGTCTCGTGAAACCGTCCTCCGTCGTAGCCTCGGTCGCGGCGAATGAGCCGCCGCGACGACGAAAGCTCAGTAGATCGTGGCATTCGCACGCCTTGTCGCACAACGAGAATAAGTCGTCCAGCCATTGTTCGGGCGACGCGTAATTAGACGACGAGATGAATCGAGCTAAATCGTCCTGGTTCTCCGAGCACGTTCCTTCTCCGCCGCCGTAACCATGGCCACCGCACCTCGTGCCGTACTGTGCGCAGATTAATCGATGCGGCGCGATCGACATGTGAAATTGCGCGTGATACACACCGGACATATTCGGCGGAAACGCGCAGTCGTGCGGTCGTTCACCGACACCGTGCGAGATTTACCGCCGTACGAACAGCCCAGGTACAGCGCGAGAATAAACACGCGCAGCGTGTACACGTACGAGGCTACGTCGCCTACGTCGATCAGTCTGTTTGTCGCAACGACGCGCCATTTGTCCCCGTCGTCGCGAGTCCACCGTTCGTCGACGTTGCTCCCGTCATCGACATTCGCGTCGTCGTCGTCATGACGTCGCGCTCGATCGCTGTGAAACGACAGATCCCACACGTTCCGTCGCACCGGATACAGTCGGATCACTCGGTGAAAGGGCCGCACCAATCGAACACCGAGACCAGAACGAGCCACGCTTCGGTCGCCGATTCGAATCTGTGGTCCAACAACTTCTCGCCGGACATCATGGTTTCGTCGGTGGCGAACGCTCCCGCTTCGCCACCGTCGCGCACACTGAACGAGAGCTCCACGTCGCACG